GATTTCACAGGGGATGGGCGGCGGGATCCAAAGGAGGGGCTAGGGTTTGGGGAAAATAATCCTCTTCAAATCCTCCCTAAATCTGAAATAAATTTCAGATCTAAGTATTTTGGAGGGAATAATTTGAAGAGGTTTTCAAAATTCAAATGCAATTAAGGGGAGAATTAATGGGTAATCAAGAGGGGCCCATCAATGTGGCCGACGGCTTAATAGGGAGAGGGAGGAATTGCTAAGGTTAAAACTGAAAATGGATTTCAATTTTAAGTGGATTGGGAGGGAAATTTTGAAATCCAATTTGATTCCATAACGATCATGGCACTAAATAGCATTTAATGGGGGAATCTCCCTAAGTGTGGCCGACGGCATGCTGAGAGGAGGAGAAGTAATTTGATGAGGTGGATTCCCGTTTGAATTGGTGATGTGGCATAACGCGATTAAAAGCTCCAAAAATCAAATGGGATTAAAATTAGAAAACCGTCATGAAAACTTTCCAAATTTGGAATTCCAAATTAGGAAAGAATTTGAAATTTAAAATTCAAAATTTCAAATTTGGGTATGTGGTAGAGATGGGGCGGACGGTTAAGGTGGGGTCGCCGGCGGGGTGGTCGGCCGGAGCCGGGGATGTGGCCGGCGGTGGATGTCCAATGGGCGGCGGCAAGTGGAAGTGGGAGGGCTGTTTTTTGGAGGATGGGAGGGAGATGGATATGAAAACGAGCGAGAAGATAAAGAAAATCTAACCACGAATCGAGGACTCTTCCAACGATTGGTGGGCCTTGCGAATTGCTCCACTTGAGCTCTCCTCCTTCTCAAGCACTCATGCAAGACGAAGTAGAAATAAAACACAAATTTCATTCAAATCTTCATTAGCCTTTTACAAAGCATGAGACCCCTATAAATAGGTCTTCAAACATAAGGAAATAAAAGTACTCAAATGCCCCTTGGGCTACAATAAGACATAACTCCCCACAGGGGTAAAATGGGAAAACAGTAAAACAAGACAATAATAATAAAATACATAATGACATCTAAATCAGAAGTAGAGGCGCTGAATCGTGGCCGTCGATCTGCGGTTTCGCCGGCGATAAACATGTCGGTAGCGTCTGTCGATGTCTTCATCAAAAAATGTCTTAGAAAATGAACAATGTAGATTAAAAGGAAGCATACCAATATATGCAAGAGTGGTGAATGAGAAGAAGCTTCCCATGACAGATAGCAACCAGAGAAAGACCACCACCTGTAGTAAAGTCGACAATGGTTAAAAAATTTTGTTTTAGGGTCATGCAGAGTAAGCAAGCATAATTAGTCCATGCATTTCAAAAAGTCAATGATTGTTGCATGCCTGAAAAAATGACCTGAAGTCCTTCCCATGAGCTATATCATGTGCCACCAGCAAAATGTTGTTAACTTTAGCACGAAATGAAGCAGCAGCATTATTGACCATTTCTTCAGACAACACAAGTTCAGGCAAAGGTCTTAGAGATCTGCCAGCAGAAATTACAGAAGAGAGAAAATAAGTAAAAAATAATATGCATCCCTACATCAAGGCATAAAATCATTAGGCAAAATTCAATGACAATATTGCACTTACGTGTTAAGTATGCCAGCACTGTTGGCCCAAATAAATCGAAGAATGATCAAAATCAGTAGCACATCCGACGAGATCGTGAGGAATGACAATCCTGATCTCTCAAGCATAAGCCATGCAACAGTAGCAACAACGATGACCACAATTGAAACTCCCCAGCATTTCCATAGTATGATATCAGCAACTAAAAAGAGCAAGGGTTTGTTTCAATTTTATTCATGAAAATGCATCCAACAAAAAATAGCAACTATAAGGGGTTGTGCCTATTTCAGGCAGATTTATCAATTTAAGCAAGATTTAGATTAGATCCTGTCAAATAGACTTAGTGAATTCTAATCCTACTGTTTTGGTAGAACTTATTACAACCTGTTTAATTATTAAATTCAGGATTTGTAAATTCCACCATCAACAATACTTTCTATCATAAATCTTAATAAACCTAAAAAATAGTCAAAAACTTTATCAGGATTTAGCAAGAATTAACAGTTGTCATACCAAATAGGTTCATTTCAGGTCTTAATCCTCTCAAGATTTATTAAACATGGATTTCTTAAATCTTTCTTTAGTTAAATCCTAATGGTAGCCAAACAGTACGTATAGGCCATAATTCAATTAAGACAATGCTGGTTAACATTGTTTTCCATTTAACTTAAATCACGGCAATCTGAACAATCTAACACACAGGTGATGACAGCGAAAAAAAAAAAAGATGCAAACTATTTGAGTAGGAGTTGAACGGATGAACTGAAGGTATCATATTGTTCTGTCAAATCATAATTACTTGTATGATATACAATTGGAGATATGGCCTTTACCAAATTAAGATTCCCGCTTCTCCTCCATCCCAACCGTCCACTGATCCCATTACTGACCTTTTCAGCGCATCTTCCCAATTTTCCACCTAGCACAACCAGCTTTATCACCTCTCCCGTTCCGTTCAACAGCTCCTCTCTGCAGCTCTTCAACTCAAACAACAGTACTGTTCCATCATTAATCGCATTGTATCTCATTAATCGACTGACCTCCAAAAATACCTCCAACCTCTCCCCATATAAACTCCTCTATCACCATCCAACAAATTACGACTATTTGCATGTATTCGGTTGTTTATGCAACCTCAGCTATCCCCAATCCATCACAACAAACTTGAGCCTCGCTCTTTACCTTGTGTCTTCATGGGTTATGCTATAGACTCAAAAGGCTACAAATGTTTGGATCCCCGAACTAACCGTGTTTACATTTCACGTCATTTTAGCTTCTTTGAATCACAATTTCCATTTAAAATTTCATCTCTAACTTCAAACCCCCTGCCTCAAACAACCTCCTGTCCTCTCACATTAGTGCCTGCCTTTGTAGCTTCTTCCCTCACTACTTCAAACTCAGAGCACCCGATCTAACCAAGTTCTAGCTCCAATTCTTCTTCTCCTACTATGCCATCTATACCTCAGTAATAATCCCAACCTACTCCAACGAACTCACTTCAATCTATTTCCCCTCCACCAGCTCCAATTATTCCACCACATCCAGCTACACAACACCACATGATTACTTGCTCTAGAATCGGGCATCATAAGCCCAATCAAATCTTCAATCTTCACCGTCAACTCATCCCATTAGCTCCCTCTTTATTTGCTAAAGCCAATAAACATGTTGTGTGGAGGTCCGCTATGTCCATTGAGTTTCAAGCCGGCACATGAACTATAGTTCTCAGTTCCACGAATAAAAATGTCCTAAGCTGCAAATGGCTCTACAAGACTAAACTTAATCCCGATGGGTCGGTTGCTCGCCACAAAACTCTCTTAGTAGCACAGGAGTTCAAATAGGAGTATAGCATTGACTATCACGACACCTTTAGTCCCGTGGAGAAATTTCGTACTATTTGACTCCTCATTGTTGCAACCTACTTTCACTGACTGGTTCTACACTTAGATGTTTCTAATGCCTTTTTACATAGCAAACTTGATGAAGTTGTCTACATGAAGCAACCGTCGAGCTTTCATGACCACCAATTCCCATCACATGTCTGTAGACTTCATAAATCTATTTATGGCTTAAAACAATCACCTAGACAATAATTTTCCACATTCTCCCCTCATCTTTTACAATATGGATTTGTCACCAACAAAGAAGACCATTCATTCTTGATATTTCACAAAGACTCAATCTCCCAATACTTGCTTGTCTATGTAGATGATGTGCTACTCACAGAAACAGTCAATCGACAATCCATACACTCCTGGATATCCTTCAAGCTACATTTCACACGCGAATCTAGGACTTGTGTCCCAATTCCACAAACCCTACTAGAATTTTCCATATCTAACCCAGGTCATACATGAACCTATGTCAACCCATAAGCAACATAAATAACCCCCTATTTCATTCCATTTCTCAACCAAACCTTTAACCATTAGAAAAATAAGCCCTGATCCACTTAAACCCCATCCAGGCCCCACCCCCCAAATCCAACTTACACCACCACCAAGAGAGTGTTTCTTTAAGATGTGTTCATCACAAAATCCCATTAATTATTGTTGCCTAGGCGAAAATAACCTTCAGGTCTCTTAATCTAGTGCGGGAAGCAATTAATGAAGGAATGGAGCGACTTGTCGGGTTCTTGTTTCATATACCACAAAGCTTAGAAATTTTTTAATTAATTTTTTGCACTGGCAAACTGCGTGATGAACTTTCGCTCGAGTCTAAGAAGCAGGTGATGCATCTCTGAGGAAGGCATGAAAACCATCACAAGGAGCCATCATAAAGGTGATAAAGAAGAGTCGACACTTCACTTCATTGCTAATAGTGAGGGGGGAGACTGTAGATTCGAAGCAGGTAATGTGAATAATTAGGTCCAAATTCCCTCAATAGAAGTCCAACATAAACATCTTAAATCACTAGGGACGTTAAGCCTTTGTAATTTACACTAAAAAGTGTTGGTGGAAGAGTTTGATGCTTTATTTATCAAAAGGAGTCCCCATGGTGTTTTCTTTTAGGACAAACAATTTATCATCAGAAGTTGGAATAGTTGATTAAGGGCTACAATGGCAATGATGAAAGTTCGAGTAGTTAATTAAGGGTAATAGCAGTGATGATGAATTAGAAAGGCAGCTAATTAATATTTTAAGGGGAATGAACAAGATAAATGTCTTGTAGTAATTATTGGAAGATTTCCATGATTATTACCATGAGTTGATTCTCCAATTGTTGGAGTTGTTCGAACATGTCGTAATTAATCTAATGATTATTCTACAATGGCCTTTCCATGAGATACAACAGTTATTTACAAGTACATTCTACCAAATTTGAAAATAGATCTATGCCGGCATTCTCATTTTTACTACAAACAACTTTGATCACTTACAAATTTCAAACCAAACACTTGGGATAATTATTAGGTGCAGACAACGTATATGGAAGCTTGGTGTAAAGTACACAATTGCTTATTTGTTATGTACTCCAATTATTTTGAGTACACAATAAGCAGAAAATGTGTACTCATTGCATACTAAAAAAATATTGGAGTACAAAGATGAGTTCTTGGTAGATAATGAGCACATAGTGTGTACTTAGTGAGTATAGGGAGATTGAATCTTTACTCACACATAAACTCAAGTAGATTTCTTCCATCTCTACTCAAATTATTCGAATGTAGAGCTATGTCTAGTGTGTGCACGTAATAATTGTTACTACACTTGAATACAACAACAACAACAACATCAAGCCTTTATCCCACTACGTGGGGTCGGCTACATGAATCCTTTTTCTCCATTGTGTCCTATTAAAAGTCAAATTCTCGTTTAAATCTAATAAAGAAAGGTCATTCCTAATATTTTCTAACCAAGTCTTTTTAGGTCTACCCCTACCTTTCTTAACATAAGTCAAATCTAATACCTCTACTCTCCTAACCGGGTCATCACAAGGCCGCCGTTTTATGTGACCAAACCATCTAAGGCGACTTTCTCTAATCTTATCTTCTACTGGAGCTACTCCAACCTTTTCACGTATATGCTCATTTCGTATCCTATCTCTAAGGGTAAAGCCACTCATCCACCTGAGCATCCTCATCTCTGCCACACTTAACTTAGTATTATGCTTCTCTTTTAAAGGCCAACATTCAGCACCATAAAGCATTGCAGGCCTCACTACCATCTTATAGAATTTTCCCTTAAGTTTGAGGGGTACATTTCTATCACATAACAAGCCCGATGCATTCCTCCACTTCAACCATCCAACTTGAATTCTGCTGATAATATCCCCATCTATTTCACCATCACTCTGAACAATAGATCCAAGATATCTAAAACGTGTACTCTTATTAATGACTTGATCGCCCAAAGTCACAATCCCCTCACTAGGTCTATTACTACTAAAATTACACTCCATATATTATGTTTTAGATCTACTCAAGCGAAAACCTTTAGACTCTAAAGTTGACCTCCATAATTCAAGTTTACCTTCAACTCCCTCTCTAGTCTTGTCAACAAGAAGAATATCATCAGCAAAAAGCATACACCAAGGTACATCCTCTTGCAAATGTCTAGTGAGAACATCCATGACTAAAGCAAAAAGATATGGGCTTAAGGCTGATCCTTGATGTAACCCAACCGAAATAGGGAAATACTTGGTCAATCCACCTTGTGTTTGAACACAAGTAATAGCTCCTGCATACATATCTTTAATGATTTGAATATAAGCATTATTGACTCCTTTCTTTTCAAGAACTCTCCATAGCACTTCTCTTGGAACTTTATCATATGCTTTTTCTAAATCAATAAATATCATATGTAGATCCTCCTTATTTTCTCTATATTTCTCCATCAAACCTCTTAATAAATGTATGGCTTCCATAGTCGACCTACCCGGCATGAATCCAAATTGATTTTGAGAAACATTAGTATCACGCCGCAACCTATGCTCCAAAACTCGCTCCCATAGTTTTAAAGTATGACACATTAACTTAATACCTCTATAATTCGCACAATCTTGTACATCACCTTTATTCTTAAAAATAGGAATTAACACACTCATTCTCCACTCATCTTCTTATTTCCCAATTACACTTGAATACATAAAATAATTATTGATCTTCTTTATTTTCAAAAACTAAACTCAACTGTAACAATATTTTCTTCCTATCACAAAAGCAATCAAATTGCCCCTCTCCATTTTTCGTAATGAATTTAACCAAATATAATGCAACCTTTCCTCATAAAATATTTGCAAGATACGCACAGCACATTTTACTTGCATATAATGTACATCATCAATGCTCTAAACTATTAAAAGATAGACAAACTTGTTAATAACTAGATGCTCATTGCATTATTTTCATGTAAAGGTATATGTGTGCCTCCATGTAAGCAATGCAAGAGAATAACGAACAAATTTACAATTAACGGTACATCCACAATAATTAAGAATTATAACAATAATATAAATAAATAACACCCCCACACAAACTCAACATGACATGAAAAATATCAACTTGAGTTTCTAAATAATGGTGAATAGAGATGGAAGAAATCAATGGTTTTGTTTCTCAAAGGTTGTGAATGTCACAAGAGAAGTTTGATCACTCCATGAAAGATAGAGCTGTGAGCAATGAAGGAAAAAATTAGCACTGAGATCTGTTTAAGAGAAGGCACAAATAAAATCTTTAAATAGAGAACATCTCGATAAAAGTATCAATGGAGAGCCTCGACAAGGAGTGTTGCGAGAGAGCATTAATAGAGGAAACAACATAGAGAATTGGCATAGAATATTAATAGAGAACATCGACAAGTTGTAGCTGGAGAACTGAAGATTGCAAAGGTGTGTATATATAGGAAAAATAGAGGCTAAGAGCCTTAGTGGCTGACAAAAGAGATGAGGATCTCACAGAGAGAGAAGTCAATAAAGCACAGAAGAGTTGGAATCAAATAATAGTATAATAGCAAACTAGGGCAGATTGAAACTTTAAGGACCACAAGACCAGCGAGAAAGTGCTAAAGAAAGATTGGGAGGATTCGAACTCATGTTTTTATACCATATTTGAAGGAAGAGGTATTGAAAGAACTGCATCTTTCTCGATTGTTTTCCAAGATAAGCATAGGTATGCTTCGATATAGGCAAAAAGTGAAGGAAAGTAAAATAAGATAATATCCTCAACAATGAGGAATATGAAAATAATAAATAAATAAGTCCTCCTATAAATATTTATCATATATGATAATCTAGAGATATGGTGACCTAGACCATATGCCATTTAATTTTTTTTCCAACTTATGGATGCAAAATTATTATCATAAATTAAATTAATAGAATTTCCATTAATAGGACCAACTAAAAACTAACGAATAAGAGTTGCTTTCATCGGTAAAGTGTACATTATTTCATTGACTGCATCTAGCAAATACCTACATTTTCTCACACGCAAACTTCAATTGGTGTATTTCTTCTAAAGTTCAGGCCTTCCTGAAAGCAACATCAGATGCAGGTACCTTACGGTTGTCTGGATGAAAAGAATATTTAAGGACATGAAATGAACTCCCAATAATTTATGGATTTATTATGAACCTGCAAACATTGATTTAATAAGCTTTTAAGCGTTTTTTTTTTTAACATTTCCTTTTTTTTTGGGTAAATTGAGGGCAGAGCCCTATTTAATTTCACTGTAAGAAAAAATTACAACCCCAAAGAAATTACAGCCCGTATACCAAATGCAATAAGCAGAGCTGTCAAAATCCTATGAAGGAGAAAATAATAAGCCCAAAAAGGACACAGACTGCACCAGAAAAGAAGCTGCCCGGGATGCAAAAATCAGTACACGTTCCCTTGGTTGCGCAAAGGCCATCAACGTATAAGAACAAAAACAACACTCTCCATTTCACAGACAATAAGAACGTAGTGATCATCATATTAAATTCAAGTCTAACAACGATGAGAAGAGCAGAAACAAAAATAACTAAAGAGTAGAAACAAAAAAAAATGAAAACGGTCAGTTCCTAGCAGTTAAGTGTTTCTGCTAATTCCTGTGAAAGCAATCCGAATGACAATATCGAGGATTACCTTTACCTCCCCCAATTACTTGATGCATGGAAAGTTGACGATCGAAGAGCCGATATCCACCGCAGCCAATCATCGACGATGAGCTGTGTTGATCAGCCGCCCTATCCTTCCTCATGTCGCTACTCAAGTCGCCAACAGAATGGTCTTGGCCACTTCCTTCCATCAGATCTTTAACCTAATGACACAATTTGGCAACAAACAGTTAAAAAAAGAGTTTGATTGCATCTCTTCTAGCATCAGAGAGAAACCTTAGAGATGAATAACAGAGATTTCAAATGGCAGTTCAGGATGACTTAAGTGTATAGATCAGTACAGCCTTATTTATGAAAAGAACTGGCCTTTCGAAGGGTTGGGGGAGTGCCAGAGAGGGGCTCCCCTCGAGGGAGGTAGAGATCCGCAAGAGCGAAGAAAACGCAGGGTTGTTCAGTTGTCCCAACGAGGAGACCGGTCAGGTTTTTCTGATATTCTGACCGCGCCGGCATGAAGGCAAATTATTGGGTCAGTAGACCGATTAATAAAATATTATTTTAAAATTAGTGCAATTAAAGCGCAACTAAAGCGCAGGTAAAGCGCAACTAAAGCGCAAATCAAAAAGCGCAACTAAAGCGCAACCAAAGCTCAACTAAAGCGCAACCAAAGCGCAACTAAGCGCAACTTAAAAAGCGCAACTAAAGCGCAAGGTGACGCGGCAAATTTTTATTGGATGTCCGAACTTATTTTCCGCCTCCGGTCACCTGACCCAATAATTTGCCAGGCATGAGGGTGAAAATTCGAGACGGTTTATGTGAGATCATTTATTTATTTATTTATTTATTTTTTGGGAAATCTAAACGAATTAATACAAATTTATACCTACCACATATATAAAATTTAAATTTAAGATCTTTTGATTCATAGTCAAAATCCTTAACTAATCCATCAAAATGAGCCATGTATTTAATTAATATCTGAGATAAATATAATGATAAATCAATTAGTTATATATTACAATTCTTTTATAAAAAATTGAGTTGATATGAAAAAAATCTTGAAATAGTGTTTCCAGTGAAATGCATCAATACAAGAATTCAATCAGGATTACATTCTGAAAGGTGTCGCGACATTGCAATATTTGGTTGATCACAAGTTCCAACATTAGCCGAATTTAAGTTCTCCCATTCCCTCCCTTAAGTAAAAGGATTTAGATTTTTTTTTTCCTTTGAAATAAACCATTTAAATATAGTATAATGAGATTTTAACACTCAAAGATCTTAATTTGAGCTAATGCACGACATTAGCAATGCTTGGGTTGTCGGGCTTCCCTTAGCCTAATTTGTCGCTTTACATGTGAGTTGGACCCTTTACCCCGCTACTTCTTCTAGAGTCTTTTTGTGATGACCTAAAGATCTAATTGGAAGACTATTTTTATTTATATTTTATTGTTTCAATAATCAAAACCTAGAGCCAACTAAAAACATCCTATTATAGTAAACATAAAAATTCACATCATCATTTCAATGCATCAAAAGAGTCATGTACAAACAATCCATTACAACATCTCTCACATCAACCCATGCATATAATTAACTGGATTGTCAAAAGTATACAAATAATAAAAAAAAACTACATACAGTCTGGATTTTAACATTATCAACCCTTTTCTACTCAATTGTTTATCCTTACCTAAAATGACATGTAAATAACAATAATGAGTAACTCATGCTCAATAGGCTACATGAGATCTACTAGATAATTCATTGTTTGCTTTTAAAATAAATTATATAATATCTAAACATTATATGAACAGGAGGTTATAAAGTTACAATTAAAGTACCATGGCATTTGTGTGATGCTCTTAACATTAACATGATTACAACAATATGACTAGTATCATAGTCACGTGTCAATAGTAAAAACTTGTCAAAAGTAAAAACATAAAAATTACTTCAACTTGAACATGGTCTGAGAACAAAACACATAATGAAACATAACATGTAACAAATAAATCAAGACATATTTTACATTTACTTAACACAATTCATGAAGCCTTCTATACCTCCACTTCCACTTATACTTCCACTTAATCATATTAGCACAATTCTTTTTATAATTATACTTCTAGTTATACCTCTATTTGTTCATCTCATATCTGTTCAATCATATCATATTCACAGATGGAGAAATTATATATATGCACAAGCCCTTATAACTCAACTTGTATTGCACAAAACATAAAACAGTTGGCACTTACATCTCCTTTCTCCCTCTTTCCTTGACACATTGTCATAACATAAACATGAAAAACATCAACATATGCAACTGTAAAAGTATTATTAAACATAATACAAATAAATATAAAATTTCACATGTACAACAAAGTTAGTGGTGTGTATGGGGTAAAACTTGCATACGCATTCAATAGTAATAATTCAGAAGACCATTCATGAGGAGCACATATAACATCATTTTGAAGCATTTCTTGTTCCATAGCATTTTTTATAATTGTCAACATACTCATAAAAATACTTAAAATAGTGTGCAAATAAAAAGACTTGCTGAAAATTTACATTTTTCTTGCCAACATAGTCAGAATATTCTATTCTATCACATTCCAAAATTATCCGGTGAAATATCCTAAATCTCCATAAATTAGCATTTATATAAACTTAAATTAGTTAAAACACCAAAAATATCCACACAAGCATCAAAATTAAAATCCCAAGGTAATGATAACCTACCTCAATACAAGCAATTTTCTCAATTAGCTCAATAAAAAAAATAGCTTTGTGGCCTCTAAATCTTCCTCTCTCTCTCTCTCTCTCTCTCTCTCTCTCTCTCTCTCTCTCTAAAATTCCTTTTGTTCGTTCTCTAACTAACAACCTTAAGAGATGAAATGGGGAGAAAAAATGATTTTCAAAGAAAAAGTTAATATTTATAAACCCAGCGCCATAGTGCCACCTTCCCAATCACCACAATACTCCCAAAGAAAAAATCGATACATGCATATAGAGAACCAAGCTTTCAGCATTCCCAAGGGGAATTTTACTGCTAAACAAAGACTTTAGTGTCGTTGTACCATCCTTTCATCATTGTAACACTCTCAAGTGCTTAACAATTTATAAAGAGGGCAATGCTATATCATTTTAACTACAACACCGTAGTGCTCACAAGGAGGATTTTCCTACATGACATGTTTCTTTTCCCAACTCAAATGCAACCCTCGTTTTTAATAGAATTTAACATAGATTTTTTTTTTATTTTACAAAAAATTAATAGGTACTTAAAAAACTTACAAATCTTATTGGATTCAATTTTAGTCATTACAAATGGATTCAGTACTGCAAAATTGGTCACTATAACTTTTTTCATATATCTTCTTATGAATCTTCTTCCTTAAGTATGCAGTGTATTATCAATATTTGATATAAAATACCCTTGAAGATTTATTTTAGAGCTTTATAATAAATATTGTAATTCTATGTTAATAAATTAACCCTTTTTAGTATGATAAATTTATGTGATATTTTATATAATTCGTTTGCATTCTATGATGGGTTGTTAGAAAAACCTTTTGGAGTGTAAGGTTAGAGACCTATTAAGGGAGAACTCTAATATTTATTAATTATTTTTTCCACTATAACTCTTGTCTTCACTTTACATATGTTAAAAAATATGAAAGGGTGTCTAAGTAACATAAAAAAAATATAACTACTTGATCTCAACAAAAAAGGCACACACTTAAAGCCACGAACACGAAACAAATGAAGAGAACTCCTCCACGAAGTTATTTCATTTAAAAACTAAAAATTACAATGCATATCGGTCCATATTTATTGATATTATAAGACTAACTTTTGAAAAAAAAAAAGAGAAAAATAGAAGGGGGATGGTGGACATTAAAGAGGAGTTCCACCTACCTTTTTAATGTCTCATCCCTACAAAACAATTTCATGGTTGACCATACAAACTTCTAGATGAGAAATAAAATATAAATTATATTTAAAAAATTTAAAATCATGTGTTCATTATTAGGATCTCGATTGGTCGGGCTCTTATAATTAGGCCTTTTTTATCAACTCCTTGGGCTTTAGTCTTAGCTTTTGTAATTGGGATTTATCTTGATTATCTTCATTTATATGATGTACTACATAAATAAGTTATTTTTTATCTCTACTGGGAAGGATTATCACCTCATAAGTCTCATCATACTCTTGGTCGGGTTATCATTTCATAAGCCTTATTATATATTTGAATTCAATTATCACCCTATGTATTATTTTTCTTAAACTATTTTATTATCACATATACTATGTTTGAATGCATTATTACAATATACCCTATCTCTTTTTTATTGGATTCCTATTCCATAAGTCTCATCATACATCTTTATTAGATTATCAACTCATAAATCTTATTACATCCATCAGTTGGATTATCACTTTGTAATTATCATAATATTGATGGTGTCATCACATAATATCTTATATAGTTAAATTAGGTTGTCACCCCATCCTTTATCTCTTATAGGTTGATTTTTCACTCTATGATCCTTACATAAAAAACTTAGGTTAAGTTATCACCTCGTATCTCTAGACTATGTTATAACTATATATATTTTGCCTCTTGGACTAGGTTATTATACACCTAATTGCCTGCTTAGGTATCTTCATAGGTAGCAACTACGTTATGAAAATGATATCCACTTCTCAAGAGCAGATGCCATTAAGGACTCACCCATGTCTACCAGAGGAACTTGCTCAAGAAAGAGGGCATAACTTTCATGCATTTTTTTAAGATCTCACCTTACATTAGGCGACCAAAAGGTTCATTGCTAAACAAATAAATCATCACTCATTTTAGTCAAGCTCTTACCTTTTAAGCTTGCCAGACTCATCTATAAGAGGGTATTTACCTTAGTGACCCCTTAATCATTTAGTTATAACTTATGTCAAGCTTAGGAACTCACCATCCCCACCTACGCCTTAGCTTGCCTTCATTAGAAAGGCAATATCGAGCCTCCTATATCACTCACCAACATCACAAAGATAACTCTCAATTTATATGTCCACCTCCTCTCAGGACTCATCATACACCAACTCGCTCATCCTTGAGCTTCCCTGATGAAAAATAACTCAAAATATCGTTGACTTCACCCTCCTTTGGCAAATTTGGAGATGCCACGTATTCCTTATTAGTTATTGGTATCAATATGTTGCCAATATTTTTTCATTTTTTTATGTGTCCTTTCATGTAGCCCTTGAAACTCAATAAGTATAGGGTGATTAAGAAGAATGTAGGGACCTTTTCTCAGACTTTTAACTTTGTAGCATATTGAAGACCCCTTGACTTCTTGGGCTCTAAACATATTCTTATAATTATTACTAAGATAATTTTTTTTTTGCTAGTATAGTGTGGGAGATTTTCAATGAAAAATGCATAAAAATGAAGAAAATATCTAACACTGTGGCATCATACTCTAGAGTTCCATGACATTCAAGGATAA